CACTAATGGATGACTAGCAAGCTGACTAACCAGGAGGAGGGATGTCACGAAAGTGCAGATGCCAGGACAGTTCGCCTGATTGCAGCCTGAGCCTTCAGCTGGACAACCAGGTGGTAGTGCGAGATGAAGGGAGACAGAGTGGCACACGTGGCAGTGCAGCAGACAACGGTGATGTCCATGTGACAGAGAAAGGCCATTGAGGATGCCACAGCTCTAGCAGAGTGAGCTCTCACTGATTTTGGAAGAAGAGTCTCTGCCAAATCATAGGGAAGGCGGATGGTCTGGACTATCGAGCTAGACATAGTCTAAGAGGAAGCCGGTGCTCCGAAGGAGCGCCAGCAAAGGTAACAGAGAAACGTTGTGAGGCCCGAAAAGTGGTCGTATGATGCACATAATATGACAAAGCACACTGCACGTCCAGAGCATGCAGAGCTGTCTCAAGCAGTGAAGATAGTGTGGGAAAGAAACCAGGAAGGACAGCTGGCTGGTTCAAATTGAAGGCAGAAAATACCGTAGGCAAGGTAAGGCCTGGCCGTAGGGGTACTTTGCAGAAATTAGGACCAGCTCCTAGTGAAACCACTCCTCCAGCCCTGCAAGCTAAGGATACTGCCAGGAGAAAGGCAGCCTTGAGGGCTGCCAAAGAATTAACTGGAGAGACCACTGAGGTGTCAGTGGTCCATAGGCAGGGTGCATATTCTCCGGGACGCAGAGAAATAGCTTGCAGGTGGAACGGGCCAGTGCCACGCAAAACAAGTGAAGGAGAAACTGAAGGAATGCATCCAGAGACAGTGGCCTAGTAGGCCAATGTCGTTTTGATGCAAAGGGACAGAACGCCTACCAATGAAAGGAGTAGGTCAAGGTGGTAGAAGGTATGCAAACATGATGGAGCACGTCCATTACTATCAGGGAAGACTCCAAGCCGACATCCAGATGAAACACCAGACCCCTGTCCTGAGACCGTAGGTGAGGGACCAGGTGCAGCGTGATGTATCCTGCAGGTCCTGGGAGCAAGATCAAGAACCAAGGCTAGTGACGCAACAAAGCAGGATGGTTGCACACCCATGGCGGACTCGAATGACCAGCCCTGAAGTGGGGGAAAGGTTGAAATCTGTAAAGGAATCCCCATGCCCCTTGGTCAAGAAGGCATCCCCAGGGAGGTGCTGCCAACACCATGTCAAGAGCCGAACATGGCACACTACTTGTTCGATCGAGATGTGAAAGCATCCATGTCTGGAATCCCCCATCAACGGCATAGGCAAAGAAAAATAGAACAGTCAAGAGCCCACTCGTGAGAGCAGGACTGTAGTCTGTTGAGATGGACTGCCATGGAATTGTTCTCACCTACCTAATGTACAGCCACTGGATAAATGTGGCGAGCATAACACCATTCTGAAGAAGGTGTAACTAGTGAGTGCCAGCCTGCGTGTCCATATAAGAAACTGCAGCGGTCCAGTCTGATGTGACCTGGGCCACCCGACTCTGGAGCAGGGACTCAGAGGCCCAAAAGATCTTAGTGAGTGCCAGGAGCTCCAGCACAATAATATGCAGGCTGGTTACCATCATGGACCAGCTGCCAAGGGCAACATGGTGGCGTAGACAATCCCCCCACAGCCTGGCGGGCTGGTATCCACTACTGACCAAACCAACTGGGTCAAGATACCAAAGGGTCTCCCTAACTGTAGAGTGTGTGGAGGAGCATCCATCAATCCAGGTGTGCAGCGAGTTCCAGAGTCACCTAGAGCGACATGGATCGGTGGTCGCAAGATACCTGAAAGAGTGAAAGAAACCAGGATTAAAGGGACTGCAACCTCAGTTGAGCGAACAGCTGCAGTAGATGCCATCAGTCCAAGGAGTCGCCGGACCTGTAGGGCAAGGAACCAAGCACCTGAAGAAAAAAGGAGCATAACCAGTCAAACATTGCCACAAACGTATTGTCAGGAGAAAATCCTGCTACAAGAAAGCATCCAAAGGCACATTAATACAATTTACACAGTGTGTAAGGTGCAAAGTCAGCTTCACTATGTTGACCTATAGTCCTCACACTGACAAAAGGGACATTGCCAAGGATGTGAGCTCACCAGCCTGTGGTTTGGACTCCGCGACCAGGAGTCAGTGAACCAACCATGGGTAAACAGTGATTTCCCCAATTAATATCCTGAGAAAGCAATCACGGTCCAACCAGATGCCCGCATGAAAATGAGCATCTTACAATAAACCAACCCCCTGGACGTAACTAGTGACTAACAGAGTCCAAGAAAGCCATACGGAAACTGCATGGAGTAATGAAGAATTCAGGCCTCCAAAATCAAGGATGGGCCAGAGGCTTCCATCTTTCTCTCTCTGCTTTTTATTTGGGGTAGGGGTGGAGGTGGCCATAACACGGCCTGTGACAGGGGGTATATCAAAGATAGTGACAAAGCTGGTAGCTATGATAGAAAGTACCAAGGAGTCAAACGGACTGACTGGTCAACAACAGAGAAGTAAAGAGACCGCTCAGTTTTGTAGTCCTACCAGCAGTTCTGCCCGTCAGGGCACTGTCTGCCCACATGTCCGGGGGCGGGGCGGCTGGTAACTTTGGGGTTGAGGCCTTTAACGTTCCCAGGATGCCATAGGCCGATGGGGACATCTTCAGGCTCTTGCAGTTGTTACGGCGCAAATGACTGTGTTGCCTTCTAGAGCCTGAGCAGGTTATCAAGAATAACAACCATTTACTGACTAAAAGCCGTACACCAACAAACGGCAGGTCCTAGCCTGTCAGTTGCTTAGATGCTGGTTTTAAGGTGTATCAAGCAGCAGTGCGCTTGTGATGCACCTGCAACAGTGCCTCCTAATGATGTGGGAGGCCTGACTTGTAAAGGTGCACAGGAGCTACCTGCAGGGTGGGCAGCACCAAACTCCATAAGTGATCATAAGCCCCCATGGCAGAGGAGTAAGTAGCTACACGGCAGCCAAAAACAAATAACAACACTAATCAAAGAACTCGTCTGTTAACAGTAAAGGAGTGTGACCATCTGTGACAACCAAGAGGGATGTAGGAAGATTGGTTGGAAAATCTTCCACCCCCTTATGATTCATGTGAGTCCCAATCCTGAATTAGGAACACTCTCCTGATGCACAGGGGAGAAAACTGTCCTAGTATGAGCCTGACCAAGCACAGGCTCAACAGTTGTAGAACGAAGAAGGCCGAATGGGTTAACAGCACGTTTGGTTGAAGCTGCGAACATTATGCTGCCAGAGCCAAGTTCGAGGGAGCACTACACCTATGAAGTGTATGTGGAGGCACAAAGCACTCCATAGCCCATGGCTCATTACCTGAAGAAAATTACCAGGCCTACCTGACAGCGGCAGGGTTCTTGGGTGGACTCCTGTGAGTCCTTTCCCTATGAACCTATGCGGGCACCGGCAGTTGAGATGGGGCTGCAGGCTACTTCGTGAACCAGCCCAGCACCAAATTATCAGCCACCAAACAGGTGCTACCCCAGGCAGGGATATCACCAACTAGCAGGGCTAGTGGTGGGAGTTGCAGCCCCCCTTTTTTTTCAAAGGCAAAGCTAGGGCTGTCGAATGCTGCCAGAAAGCCTTTGCCTCGGCACCTAACAGACTTTGGAAATAGCAGCCGCGTGAACAAGCCCCTTGATAAAGGAGGGCCATTTCATGCCAAACCACCCCAGGGCATTACACCAGTCAGGCAAAGCGCTGACACGCAGGGCTGTCCGCAGGAGCTAAAGAGGCCCATTGTATCCCCAAAGGGAAAATCAAGCCTTACCGTATGTCGCCAGCACATCTACAGCCTCGGTGTACAGCTCCCTCCGGAAGTCGCAGCTCCATGAGCAGGCGCACGAAGGAGGGTTGGTGTGTGGCAATCACATGCAGAGGCTCTTCCTATGTCAGGAGAATCACTGACAGGCAGGGAAGGTGACCGGCACTGCAGGAGGCCCTTCTTCTCCAAGGGACGGGGTGACAGAGCCCTAACTCATTGCGGGATCAAAACAGCTGGATGAACGAGCGCCTTGAAACAAGAGGGCTGTTCCGTGCCAACCTCCGAAGAGGCTGCACCCCACTGACGAGTGGGGAGCAGGAGCTATGGAGCCCCTTCTTCCAGGGCAGTCCTAAGGCCGCAGAGGCCCAGCTTACTACGACACAGGTGTAAGAACGAGCCTCTTGAAACAAGAGGGCTGTTCTATGCCAAACTCCGGAGAGGTTGTGCCTCAGTCAGGAGAATTACCAACAGGCGGGGAAGGCGGCCAGAGCTGCAGGGTGCCCATTGTTCTCCCAAGGACAAGCTCAGAAGCTGTCCTCTTCTATCCTGCTAAGAAGAGGGAATTGCAAACAGAGAGAAAGCTGTTGCTCTTCAGCCTAGGGGAAGTTTTATAAAAAAAGGTAAAAGAGACCTTATTTCTTTTAAGAGAAAAGCCCTGAGGGCTGGAATGCTGGCTTTCCAAAGGCTTTGTAAAGCCTCCACAAATAACAGCTAATGCTGGCTAGTACTTATCCCCCAGGCAAAGGAAACAACTTGTTACAAGGAAAGAACAAGGGGAGGTCAAAGGAAGGCAAGAAAAAGAAAGAATTGTTTCTACTTGCGAAGTTCCAAACGAAGCTGCTGCTACAGTGGTGGTCAAAAAAAGAACTGAGGCACTGGGCTGGGGGTGGAGTTATATAGCCAGGTGTGCACTAAGTGCTTAAAACTGTGGAAGTTTCCAGAGACTGCTCTGCTCAGGTGCAATTAACACATTAGTGTGTATTCACAGAGGACACAAAGGGGAACCCATTTCTGTAAGAATATACTGTAACTTTAAATATGAATAATTAAATATTTATGAAAAATCAATATAAATTATTTTCTACATGTAGATATAAGTTACACTCATTTATGAATAGGGTAATTAGTTTTCCAGATCGTCAGCTATGTAACTGAAAAGAATCAAAACAAGTTCAATAGATGTTTCAAGCAATTCTAACATTAACAGTTCTACAATTCTACAATAACTTTTTTTGGGGGGGAACCTGCTACTATGCCATCTTTGAAGCAGGGTTCTGGTTCCTTTAAAAAAATTTCCAGTTTTACCTTGTTGCTTAAGACTTAGTAGCGTAAAATCACAGAAAGGCTTTTTGAAAAAGGACCCTCCCAGAAGTGGTAGATGGACAAGTCCTTAAACTTTTTCCTACCCTAAATAATCCTACCAGCAACTTTTCCCTCTACAGAGTGCCAAATGTAGGTGAAAATATCTTTAGAACTCTTCACAGAGGACAAGCCAGCTAGCTGGCAAGTGATACAATTACTCCTCCTTTTCTGATCTCAGTCACTCTCCAGATGCAAATATTCCAAGTTGTAAAGGGCTTCTCTGGTTTCAGGTTTAACTATGTTTGAATTATAGCAACTGCAAGATATTTGCATCCTGGTTGCTCTGTGCTGCTCTAAAAGTACTTTTTAAAATAATTGGTGAATCTAATATAGGGATAACTAAAAATGTACTGAATGTTTGTAATGTATGTCACTACTTTTCCTTCTCTTCAAATGAGTAAGTCTGGTTAAGTTTAGAGGAGAAATACCATACAGTTGAGTTGCTGTCCTACAGTGAAATCATGAGCTGATCACTCTAGAGACTAATTGTGCTATTCGACATTTCTGCAGTAGTAATAACAGTACCCTTGATAGCATGAAAAATTTAATAAAGTCAAGAGGCACAGGTGGTCTTTACTGTCTTGCTATTTCCCATGTACAATCAGTGATGATCTTCATTTACAAGGATGTCTGCAGCCAAGGCTTAGAATTGAGAAACACTAGAAAACTGTGTGCTTGGAGTTATACTTAATCATGCAGCGAGGAGGTCATCATCTGAGTGTCCAATAGCATCTGGATCTTGAGAGGGGTCCAGGTCTGCCAAAGCATTGAACCATGCTGATAAGTCTTGGCTACTTGTCTCCACACCTAGAATACAGGAGAAATTAAATTACTGAGATGTATCTTCTAAGAAATCATCTGTTCTCCCTTTGGATCAACTCCATTTATTTGGCTAATGTTCCAAATAAATGGAGTCAAAGGATAGCAAATAAAGTTGTTTCCTTAGTATTGCAAGGCAGTAATGATGTGAACTCTATCTTTCATGTACAGTGGTGCCGTGCATAGCGACGATAGTCCGTGCAGCAAAAATCGCTGCAAAGCGATTTTGTTGCTATGCGATTTTAAAAAGCCCATAGGAATGCATTAAAACCCGTTTAATGCATTCCTATGGGCTTAAAACTCACCTTAAAGGGAAAATCCTCCATATGGCAGCCATTTTCGCTGCCTGGTAGGTGAGGAATCAACACGAAAACACAGCGGGCGGCCATTTTTTAACCCGGCGGCCATTTTGGAACCACCAATCAGCTGTTAAAAAATCATCGCTTTGCGATGATCGGTAAGCGAAACGGTACCAATCATCGCAAAACGATTTTTCCCCATAGGGAACATTGCAATGCGATCACTTTTGCGATCGCAAAATCTTCATCGCTATGCGATTTCAGCATTAAACGGGGCGCCCGTTAAGTGAGGCACCACTGTAATTGCGAGTTTTTCTTTATACAGTGCAGCAGTGGAAGCTGTACTTAATATGAGTTAAAGGCCCATACGGGCTTTCTTTTTCCTTTTGCCATATTTTTGAATGGAGCTCTCTCTCTCCCTTCTCTCCACTTTTAAGCACAGGTACCTAGTTTTGACTCCATGCTAGGGAAAATGAATGGCTACTTGTATCTTTTCCCTATACAAATATTAACATGAAATAAAATCTGCACTTTCTTGTTTATCTTTAAACTACTGGTTTTCTGACAAAAACAGCCAGGTGCATTATAAACGTCAAGACTGCCTTTATTCTGTGGAGTTGTTCCACTTTTCAGAAGCTACACATTTTATTTTAATATGACCCTAAATTTAAAAAATATAAAACTTCCTACACCATCCACCTCATTTGTCTGATATGCACAACTTACATCTTTGTGGTACATTTGGTGTGCTGTGTGAAGGTCCTAGCTGATCATCAGGAACTGATTTGGAAGAAAGACTTTGACATTCTGACTGAGACACCCAGCCTTCAGGAGAGAAAACATAAGCCAGATTCTTAACAGGATGAGCAGGTACTGATTCATTGGCTGGAATCCTGTTGCTTAGTATAGTATGTCACAGCCAAACCTATTTGCATTATTGGAAGGTATGGAGGAAGTGACCCACCAAATCCCTACTGATTCAATAGACCTACTCCAGTGCAATTCACTATGCTAAGTAACGATTTCAGCCATTATTTATAATTTTAATTTTTTTGTTTTAGTTCAGTCTCCCTTTGACTTAGATCAAGTCATTCAATTTACTTCAATAAACTGCAGATAATTTAAGACTTTTTGCAATTAAAGAAAACTTCATTTTCTCATACTCACTACTAAATTCCCCAGCAGTATGAAAGCCAAAATCAAAGAGCTGTGAAGGTAGAAATACTCCTGAATTAACTTGGGCCTGTTGTTCTGCAGCAGTTCCTTGAGCCCAGAGATTCGGATGCTCAAACACATTTGGATATTCCGCTTGGCTGGTACTTGCAGTGTCTGAAGAACTGGGTTTTGATAAGTCCTCCAGACATGACAAATGACGCTCAAAATCGTCTTCAAGCCAGTCTGAAAGTTATGTACCAAAAAAAACCTAGGTAAAACAATTACAGTATATTTCTGCCCCCTCCCCAGGAATTGTTTCTTGAAATGTGTATTAGTATTAGTAGTATTAGTAGTAGTAGTAGTAGTAGTAGTTGTTGTTGTTGTTGTTTTATATGCCGCATTTCTCCCAATAACGGACCCAAAGCGGCTTACAACATTAAAATTCACACAATTAAAAACACAATAAGTTAAATATTAAAAGACAAATTAAACAAATATGATTTAAAATAAAATTAAAATATTAAACATTAAAACATGGAAAATAAAATTATCTGGTAAAATGGGGTTCAGGGTTTCAATTGTAATTGTTAAAAGCCTGCCTGAAGACATGGGTCTATAGCTTTTTGGGGGGAGGATAACAGGGAAGGGGCTATCCTGATCTCCCATAGCCTGGGAGCTGCCACAGAGAAGGCCCTCTCCCATATCCCCATCGGCTGTGCTTGTGCTGGCAATGGGACCAAGAGGAGGGCCTCCTCTGCTGAACTTAATCGCCAAGAACGCGCATATACAGAGATACAGTTCTTCAGGTAGTCTGAACCCAAACTGTTGAGGGCTTTATAGGTAATGACCAGCACTTGTCCCAGAAATGGACTGGTAGCCTGTGCAGTTCTTGTAACAGGTGTGTTATATTCTCCCTGTAGCTGGCCCCAGTCAGTAGTCTGGCTGCAGAGTTTTCCACCAGCTGAATTTTCTGAACCATCTTCAAAGGCAGCCCCACATAGAGCACGTTACAATAATCCAAACAGGATGTAACTAAGGCATGTGTCACTGTAGCCGACATATAAAGCAATGAGCGCATCTGGTGCACCAGCTTTAGCTGTGGCAAATGCACTCCTGGCCACTCCTGGCCACTGCCAAGACCTGGGCATCCAGGCTTAGGGATGAATCCAGGAGTACACCCAAACTGCGGGCCTGAGTTTTCAGGAGGAGTGTAACCCCATCAGCACAGGTAGTATCCCTATACCCTCATCTGCCTAACCAGGCAGCACCTCTGTCTTGTCTGGATTAAGTTTCAGTTTGTTTGCCCTCATCCAGCCCATTACTGATGCAAAGCACTGATTTAGAGTCAAGATAGCTTCCCTGGAATTAGGTGGAAAGGAGAGATAAGAGTTGTCACTGACACTGAACCCCAAAACTACGGAAAACCATTCCCAGCATTTTCATGTAGATATTAAAAAGCATGAGTGACAAAGCAGAATGCCATAGGCCAACGGCCAGGTGTCACCCAGCACCATCTTCTGAGTTCTCCCCTGACAGGTTTGGGATAAACCTGAAGGAATTGTTAAATACAGTTTTGTACTAAAGCAATAAGTATTTGTCAGAATCACTACTAAAAAAAGAAAAAAAGAAAAAAGAAAGAAAGAAAGAAAGAAAGAAAGAAAGAAAGAAAGAAAGAAAGAAAGAAAGAAAGAATTTATCCAGCTAAGTAAATTGTAACAGCTGAGAGAGCAATCCCAGGATTGGCTAACCCTGGGATAAAGCTAGCAGACCTAGCACACACACTCTGTGGTGGTGTGGGTGGTGTCGGTGTGAAGTGCTGTTGTCGTGGTGCTGTGCTGGAGTATATGTGTCTTCGGGCTGTATATTGGAAGAAGAACTCTGGCTACTGGACTGAACATATGGTATTTGACTGCTGAACTAATTTACAAGGACTTTGACTTTGATTTATGCATTGAACTCTGTTGAAACTGCTGTGTATAACTTCGGAACTGGAAACAAGGACTAAGCTGTACATGTATGTATATATCCTATAAATAATACAACTATTCTGCTATCAACACTGCTCTATTGCTTGGCGTCTTCATCTCTCAGGGAAGTTCTACTGGTTAGTGCCACCTGGTGTATCCTGGTAATACTGCAACTGTCATCCCCTCCATGAAGGACTGGGGCCACTGTAAAACAGGGTCTCCAAGTCCCATCCTAGAGAGATGGCCCAGAAGGATACCATGATTGATGGTAGGACCTCCTTATCTACAGAATCAGTACCCACTGATTCACTTATCCACAATCTGAAAATATCAAAATATTAAAAGAATTCAGAAAAAAGTTTTCTCATGCATTACCAGAACTGTCCACTAGAGGGAGAGAGAGACCATGCTATGAATACTCATTAGTGAAGAATACATAGCATGGTCTCTGGTGCCCACCAGTGGACAGTTCTGGAAATCCATGTGAAAATATTTTTTTTCTGTTTTTTTACCTTTTAGATAAAGGTAAAGGTTCGCCTTGACGAATGTCCAGTTGTGTCTGATCTCCGTTTCCAAGATGTATAGCCAGCGTTTGTCTGTAGACAGTTTCCATGGTCACATGGCCAGCACAACTAGACATGGAACGCTGTTATCTACCCACTGTGGTGGTACCAATTTATCTACTTGCATTTGCATGCCTTCAAACGGCTAGGCTGGCAGGAGCTGGGACAAGCCGCGGGAGCTCACTCTGTCACATGGATTCAATCTTACGGCTGCTGGTCTTCTGACCTTGCAGCACAGAGACTTCTGCGGTTTAACCCGCAGCGCCACCACGTCCCTCCTCTTTTTTTTACCTTTTACCATCCTATATATGTAGTGTTAGCTATTATCCCCAGTTTTCAGTATCCACGGGGGGGGGGCTTGGAACCATTCTCCACTAAATATGATCCTACTGTAACCATAGAATAAGTTGCATATTAATAGAAGTAGTATTAGCAATTAAAAAGTACCTAGCATTAAAAAGTTTTTTAAAAAATTCTAGAATGCCTTAGAGATAAATAAGATAGTTGCCTAGCAACTAAAATTAGTAAAGATGGCACCAAGTGAATGCATTCCATCTTCACCTTTTTAGGTAATGCATAAGTAACCCACTCTACTTGCCACTACAGACAGGGCCTTCTGCCATCAACTGCTGTGTGGAAGGAAGAATTCCACTTGAGGCAGAGAGGGGTAGTCACCAGAACCTGGTCCAGTTGGAAACACACACACACACACACACACACACACTAGAACTACTATGGAAAAAATCATGATGTTTTAAAAATATATTCAGATGTTACATCTAAAGAGTCTTGGAAGCATTAAAGACTGAAAAGAAAGACACAAATAATTGGGGAGGGGAGTAAATAATGATTAAAACAAAGGGACCTTAGGGGAAATTATAATACAGCTCTTCTTTTTTTCAGCTATTTTTTTTCAAATCACCATACAGTATATGAAACAACCTGTCTAATCCACATATATACAGCAAGGGGGGGGGGAAACAGTGATACTGCCTTTTATATTCTATACAGTGGGGTCTTGACTTGAGAACTTAATCCGTATTGGAAGGCAGTTCTCAAGTCAAAAAGTCTGTAAATCAAGTCTCCATTGACCTACAGTGCATTGAAAACCTATTAATCCTGTAACAGGCCGTTTTTGTTCCATTTTGGTTTTTTTCTGGCCTGTAAGTCAAATCTCAGTCTGCAAGTCAAACCTAAATTTTGCGGCCAGAGAAGTCTGTAACTCAAAAAGTCTGTAAGTCAAGCCATCTGTAAGTCAAGGGTCCACTGTAATGGAGATATATCCTGTAGTCTGATCATGCTTTTCTATATGGAAAATGTAATCTAGAAACCATTCTAATGCATTATGCAAATTGTTACCTTTCTCAAGGCTACATGGCTGATCATCACCAAATATGCTTGGCTGAGAATGGATTGTAGCATCTGTCCCTAGAATACCAGAATAAAATACTGCTGTAAATACTTGTAAGAGAAGTGAATCATAAATCCCCCAAAAAATATTTCCAAAGATTCTTTCTAGTCTAGAGATACAGAACTGGAAGTCTTCCTGATGAGGTGGTATATAAATTAAATAAATAAAGAGCACAGTTTGCTGTCCTCTGAAGATGCCGGCCACAGAGACTGGCGAAACGTTAGGAAGAACCACTTTCAGAACACAGCCAAGAAGCCCGAAAAACCTACAACAACCAAATAAATAATTTGTTGGACTCTGAACCCCATCAACCTTGCCTATTAACCATGTTGGCTGTGGGTGACAGGAGTTGACATCCAGTAACTTCTGGAGGGTCACAGGTTTCTCACAACCATTTCAATATTTTTGAAATCATGTCTATGCATATGTTTTTGTTGTTGTTTAGTCATTAAGTCATGTCCGACTCTTCGTGACCCCATGTACCAAAGCACGCCAGGCCTTCCTGTCTTCCACTGCCTCCTGGAGTTAGGTCAAATTCATGTTGGTCGCTTTGATAACACTGTACAACCATCTCATCCTCTGTCATCCCCGTCTCCTCTTGCCTTCACACTTTCCCAACATCAGGGTCTTTTCCTGGGAGTCTTATCTTCTCATGAGATGGCCAAAGTATTGGAGCTTCAGGATCTGCCCTCCAGTGAGCACTTAGGGTTGATTTCCTTCAGAATGGATAGGTCTGTTCTCCTTGCAGTCCAAGGGACTCTCAAGAGCGTCCTCCAGCACCACAATTCAAAAGCATCAATTCTTCGGCAGTCAGCCTTCTTTATGGTCCAGCTCTGACTTCCATACATTGCTACTGGAAAAACCATAGCTTTGACTATGTGGACCTTTGTCGGCAAGGTGATGTCTCTAATTAAGATGCTGTCTAGGTTTGTCATTGCTCTCCTCCCAAGAAGCAGCAGTCTTTTAATTTCGTGGCTGCTGTCACGATCTGCAGTGATCATGGAGCCCAAGAAGGTAAAATCTGTCACTGCCTCCATATCTTCCCCTTCTATTTCCCAGGAGGTGATGGGACCAGTGGCCATGATCTTAGTTTTTTTGATGTTGAGCTTCGACCATTTTTGCGCTCTCCTCTTTCACCCTCATTAAGAGGGTCTTTAATTCCTCCTCACTTTCTGCCATCAGAGGGGTATCATCTGCATATCAGAGGTTGTTGATATCTCTTCCGGCAATCTTAATTCTGGCTTGGGATTCATCCAGTCCGGCCTTCCGTATGATGTATTTTGCATATAAATTAAATAAGCAGGGAGACAATATACAGCCTTGTTGTACTCCTTTCCCAATTTTGAACCAATCAATTATTCCATATTCAGTTCTAAATGTTGCTTCCTGTCCCATGTATAGATTTCTCAGAAGATAGATATGGTGCGTATGATGTGCTGATACTGTTGTGTGGGGCTGAAACAAGCGACAAGCTGTTTTCAACTTTAAGGACTTGCCATAGTTTGCTGTGGTCCGCACAGTCAAAGGCTTTTGTGTAGTCAATGAATCAGAAGTAGATCTTTTTCTGGAGCTCTCTGGCTTTCTGCATAATCCAGCACATGTTAGCAATTTGGTCTCTAGTTCCTCTGCCCCTTCTAAATAGAGTGTTTACCTACCTGTAACTATGGTTCTTATAGTGGTCATCTGTGAATCCACACAACTAGGTATAACTGCACTTGTGCTGGATCCCTGGAACATTCTAGAGCTTAAGATATAGTAGCACATTGTCCCTAACACGCATGCTCCAACCGCCTGTGCACCTCAGTTCCACATGTCCACCACTGTCAAAGCCGTATAAGCCAGACTATGAGTGATGGAGTGCTCTGGTCCATGGGGTCACAAAGAGTCGGACACGACTAAACAACAACAACGAGTGATGGACAGTGAGGAGGTCGGGCGGGATGTGTGGATTCGCAGAGGACCACTAGAAGAACCATAGTTACAGGTAGGTAACCACTCTTTCTTCTACGTGGCCTCTATGAATGCACACAACTGGGTGACTGGGTAACTCGCCAGATGGTGGGCCGTCACTCCAGCACAGATGTTAAAACAGCTCTCCCAAAGCCGGATTCCTTCTTGGCCCTCAAGATCAATCGATAGTGAGTCACAAACGTGGATGGAGTGGACCAGGTGGCCACTCGGAAGGTATCCGAAATGTCAACACCACTCAAGAGGGCCGTTGAAGTCACCACAGATCTAGTAGATCAGAGCCTCAGGTGGGGTTTTATCCAACATTTCATAGGTGAGAGAGATCGTAGACACAATGCATCGTGAAATAGACTGAGGAGCTACAGGAGAGCCTTTATGAGGGCCATGGAAACATATAAACAATCTGGGAGAGATGCAAAAGTCTTTTGTTCTGAATGTATAATATGCCAAAACACAGCGAACATCTAACAAGTGGAGCATGTGCTCAACATCCGAAGAAGGATTAGGAAACAACATTGGTAAACTTATTGGCTGATTAGCATGAAAACTTGAAACTACCTTAGGTAGAAAGGAAATGTCTGTATAGAGAACCACTTTGTCTGGAAAGAACTCCAGGTATGGTGCATCAGCCCTAAAGGGTGGCTGGTTCATTTGCTCATTTTGCAGACGCAATAGCAAATAGAAATAAAGTTTTAAATGACAAAAGTCTGGTGTCAGATGAAGCCATAGGCTCGAATGGTGATCGTGTGAGTGCTTGCAAGACAACTTTTAAAGACCACTACACCAAAGGAGGACGGGTGGGCGGTTGGATATTCTGTAAGCCTTTGAGGAACAACTTAAGTGTAGGATGGGAAAACAAATGAGCAGATTCAGAAGCCCTGGGCTTATACAAAATGACAGCAGAGATGTACATTAATGGTAGATAACGCCAAACTTAGGTCAAATAAATGACGTAAGCAGGTAAGAAGGGTGTCAAGTGATACAGGAAAAAGCTGTAGATCCCTTGATTCAGCAAATTTGAGGAAATTTCTCCATTTATAATGATACAAAAGCTTAGTAGAGGGTTTCCTAGCTTTATCCAGGACCTCCTTAATCAAGGAAGAATTCTCCACGCCATCAGGTGCAGAGAATCCAAATATGGGTGGCAAATCATTTCCACATTCTGGATGAGGAGATGTGGTATCGACCGGAGTCTGAAGAATTCTGTTGCCATCATTTTGAGAGTTATAAACCAGGGTTGCTGGGGCCACCATGGTGCAATCAGTATGGCATCTGCTCGAGTTTGACAGATCTTGATTATAGTTCTTTGAATCATAGGTATAGGTGGGAAAAGGTAAAGGAGGTGGTCCGTCCAGTCAACCATGAAGGCATCTCCCAGGGATGCATTGCCTATCCCCGCTCTTGAACAGAACATGTTGCATTTGGTGTTCACATAGGTTGCAAACATGTCTATCTCTGGATGTCCCATCGATTGCGTATCATTGTGAAGACTGAGTTGTCGAGTTCCCATCCGTGTGTCTGCGTGATCACTCAACTGAATGCTTCTGCTATCAAGTTGTCTCTTGTTGAGAAGTGAATGGCTACCGGAAAAATGTGATGCACATAACATCACTCCCATAGGTGAACCGTTAGATAAAGCAGAGACATTGAATGTGTTCCCCCTTGTTTGTTTATATAGTACATGGTTGTGGTGTTGTCTGTCATGACTTGGACACCTTGACTTGTTATCAGCTGACGGAAAGCATGAAAGGCTTTGATGACAGCCCAGATTTCTAGATGTTTATGTGTACGCGCCTCTCCTGTTTTGACCAAAGAGTGTGAATTTCATGGGGACCACAGTGAGCTCCCCATCCTGTAGGACTTGCATCCGTTGTTACCTGAATTGTGAGCTGCAATGGATGAAATGGACGGCCCAGTAGTAGATTTGTTACTTTCCCCCACCATTTTAGCTGAAGTGATAACTCTCTGGTTACAGGTAGGCGCATGGTAGGCTTGTCCACCAGAGGACTGAAGTGAAACAGGTACCATGCCTGGAGGGAGCGCACCTTCAAACTCACGTGAGGCAGGGCACAGGTAGTTGATGTCATCAGACCCAAGAGATGCTGCATATGATGTGCTGATACTGTTGTGTGGGGCTGAAACAAGCGACGAGCTCTTTTCAACTTGGTGACACGTACTGGAGGAAGAATCACACATGCACGAATGGAGTCCAGTCAAGCCCCTATGTAATCTGTCACCTGTGTTGGATGTAGATGAGACTTCTTGTTTATGACTTGTAGTCCCAGGTTTGCCAGGGTTTGCAGAACAAACTCGGTGTCTCGTACTGCCTTTTGAAACAACGCAGCTATTACTAGCCAATCGTCGTTGTACGGAAAAACTGTAATGTACAGACGAAGGTAAGCTGCACTGGCCTCATGCACTTTGTAAATGTTCTTGGGGTGGTAGACAATCCAAAGGGTAGGGCGCAAAATTGATAAGCAGTATCTTCAAAGAGAAAACTTAGGTAATTTTGATGTTGTTGGTGAATGGATATATGAAAATAGGCGTCCTTTAAATCTATAACCACAAACCGGTCTCCTTGCCTTAGCAGAGGAATGATCAATTCCAGTGTGACCATGCGGAAGTGCCTTGGATGAAGATAAGTATTGAACAGCTGGATGTCTAATATGGGTCTGATGCCCCCGTCTTTTTTGGGAACTGCAAAGTAGCGGGAGTAAAATCCTTTTGTAATGTCTTTTGATGGTACGGCATGTTTTTTTAAACAGTGATGACATTTCTTCCTCCAGGGCTGGGTTGTAGGATGTAACTTTGATGTTTCCGGTTGGAGGGAGTTCCACAAATTCTAACAGGTAACCAAATTTAATGATGTGATTTATCTTTTGTGATTTGCGTCCAATATTCTATAAAAGGTAAAGGTAAAGGTTCCCCTTGACAATTTTTGTCCAGTCGTGTCCGACTCTAGGGGGCGGCGCTCATCCCGCTCTTCAAGCCATAGAGCCAGCGTTTGTCCGAAGACAATCTTTCTGTGGTCACATGGCCAGTGTGATTT